TTTGAGCCACAGCACCGCCCTCGCTTTTTTTTTTTTTTTTTTTTTGGAGACAAGAGTCTCCAGCTGCCACCCTGGGTAGAGTGCCATTGCATCATAGCTCACAGCAACCTGCAACTTGGGCTCAAGCAATCCTCTCGCCTCAGTTTTTCTATTTTTAGTAGAGACGGGGGTCTCGCTTTTTTGCTCAAGCTAGTCTCAAACTCGTGAGCTCAAGCAATCCACTTGCCTCAGCCTCCCAGGTGTTAAGATTACAGGGAGAAGCCACCACGCACAGCCTGAGACAGTCTCAGTTTGTCACTCTGGGTAGAGTGTCATGGTATCAGCCTAGTTCACAGCAACCTCAAACACCTGGGTTCAAGACATCCTCTTACCTCAGCTTCTTGAGTAGCGGGGACTACTGGCTCCCACCATGATGCCCAGCTAGTTTTTCTATTCTTAGTAGAGACAGGGTCTCGCTGTGGCTCAAGCTGGTCTCAAACTCCTGAGCTCAAGCAATCCACCTGCCTTGGCCTCCCAGAGCACTGCGATTGCAGGCATGAGTCGCTGTGCCTCACCGAGGGATTTTTAAAATTTCCCCCACCTCCTCTGACTCTGGGGCCGTCAGATTGACATCCATCCAAGCTGGAGATATCCCATAACCTCAACCTTGGAATTTAGTAAAATGAGCACTAAAGTGTTCTCTATGTCACCCTCCACACTCCAAAAAATTCAACCAACCAAGACACATCATTCCTAAAGGTGAACTGTCTTTCAGCCTTGTCCACGCTTTGGGCATCCAGATTAACCAAGAAGCCTCATTAGGAGACAGGGACATCCTAGACATAGGGGCTAATTTTCACTTGATTTGCTGGAATTAGGGCTTCTGTGTTAAGCATACAAATACAAAAACAGAGGAGAGTTTGAACTGAGCAGCCCATCTGGTTCCCTGGTTTATTGGGGATCTGTCATTGTCTAAGTTGAGAGAAGAATTTACACTTGGGCCCAGGAAGAACCGGGCATGACACCCCTGCCTTTTCTGCTCTTCTATTCCTGCCCACTCAGCAAATACTCCGCCAGCTGCCCACCCTGCTCCTGGCGCACCCTGGGGGCAGGGTGGGGAGCAGAGGTTATACTCGAAGTGCCCCTGGGACAAGGAAGTGTAGCCAGAGACTCTGGCAAGGTACTGGGAAGACTTTGAGTGGCCAGGAGGACTCTGTTAGGGGAGGTAAGAGGCAAAAGCACGCTGAATGGTAGGAACAGCATTCATGACGTCTTGTGAGTGCCTGCCTGTGGTCAGGGCAGGTGGAAATGAGGCCAGACAGGCCAGGTGGGGAGGGCTCTGACGGCCAAGTTGAAACAAGCCTTGGTATGGAAAAGAGAAAATGCACTGATGCCCACAGATACGGGGTCAGTGGGTCAAGAATACCCGCATCACCAAAGCTTCAATGTGGTCCTTAAGAACAGCAGCTGCTACCCCTGCTTCACCCCAGGGGAGAGGGCTGTAAATATCCATCCCCCAGGGACCTGCGGGCTGAAGGGCCCACTTTTTTTGAGACTGCAGGCAGGATGTGGCCTCCCCAGAGTTCTAGGTAAAGGCAACAAACATCAACATCTGAGCAATTCCTAAAGCAAAATAGACTTTACATTGAAACTTTAAAAGAATTACTATTTAAAAGAGTCCACCCACCTAAAGCCCTCCCACCCATTACGTGTCGACTCTAGGTTAGGTCTTCAGGGCAAAACGGGGGCAGGAGCGACCCTTCTCAAGAAGTCCCTGGAGGCTGGCCCTGTTTGCTCTCTGAATCTGGAACCCAGAGCACACCCCCTCCCTAGGACCCGTCGGGAGCAGCCGGCCCTCGGAGTGGTGCTAGGGCGGGCAAAGCCGCGGGGTATCAGGCCCAAAGTCCCGGAAAGACTGGGTGTTCTCTGCATGTCCCAGGAACCCCACCCGCCCAGCCCCGGTAGGAATGGGGCCGAGACGCAGGCTGGCAGCCCTGGGGGCCGCCACCCCGAGGCGAGGAGATGGCGGCTCGCCTCTCCTGGGGCTCCCGCGCCTCCGAGGCGATGACAATTTTCCAGCCACCGGCTCCAGCTGGCCAGGCTCTCGCTGAGCTCCCGCCCTCGGCTCCCAGCGATGCCGTCCCGACGGGCGGGTGGCGGGGCCGACGGCGCGCCCGGAGCAGGGCGGCACGACCAGCTGGTGGTCTCCCGG